GGGGTATGCATAAATTGACAATTCCCAAACAAGTTTATATTTGTTTGTTTAATTTAATGCAATAATCTGGTTTGAATGTTATTTTTGAGCACACCAGTATGGGTTATATAATCTTGACTTCATTATTCATGTTATTACTTATTTGAAAATCAAACAATTGTACCATATCATTTATAGTGCCTATAATACTGTTTAGTGAATAGATTGTCAGCTTGATTTGCAAATTCTTCCTGCGGATTATTGGGTACAACTCGGGGGAAATGAAATGGAAACCATGAAAGAAAAAATAAAGAAAATCATTAAAAATTGTAGATTCTAAAGATCATTTTCAATATTTAAGGTGTATTTTAAGTTAGCGAAAGTCCAAAAAAACTGTCCATTCCTTAAAAAGATGGACAGTTGTTTGGACTTTCTGTATTACATAAGACCCATCAGTGGCACCCAAAGCCAAACATTTTGAAGGCCAAACTAAATAGGAAGTTTTAGAGATTTGAAAACAAAAAAATCCAAAAGTTGTGCTAAATGCATTTTATTTTATGTTTGCGAATAAATTATGAATACAGTAGTTGTATGCTACATTTGTTTTGGTATCTACTCCTATAGACTGTGTTTCCTACATAAACTGCCATGACTTCCGTAGATCTGAAATATATAGTTGAAATGTCATAATGTGCTTCTTTCGATTTTGATGGAACCAAATATTTTAATCCGAAAGTATCAACATTGAACCTATGTCCTTTTGGTGTCTTCCGACTGTTTTATGATAAAAACAGGATTTTTATGCCACTACACATTCTAAACGTGCTGAAGTAGCTTTTAATAAAGTTTGAAAGTGTTTTGCAAATTCGTGTTTTAGGGAAATTTTCTATACTTGATTATTTCGGTACTGACATGATTTATAACATACTTTTCTTAAATTGTGAGTTAATAACGAAATTATTAAAAAACTAAGGCTTCATCTCACTTAAGCATGGTTGACCGTATATGCATTTGGCTATTATTTTAGCTCCTCAAATGTGTTGGTTTTTCTTACATCTTTGGCTTACAAGTATTCGGCTTTGAGTGTGTATCAAAAATTGAGTATCTCAAAAAAAAAAAAGAAAAAAAAGCGCGTTGTACGCAGAAAATTATAAAGTGTCGCTTTCCTTTTTTTCTAGGTTGACGTACCGTTAAGGAATGCCCTTTTTCACAGATTATCTCGAATATGATCTATTTGTCTTCGCCAAAGTCCTGTACTTTTCATCGATTGCGGTCCTTGTGACAAGGAACACGACAGGGGGCAGGATCTGATTACTCTGTTTGGTCACCTTAGAATACTACCAGTTTTGGTGGGGCTATTGTTGCTCAGTCATAAGTGTGCTGTGTAGTATTTTGTAGATCGTAGACTTTTTTTTGTCTGTTTGTTCTTTTTCTTTTTGATCATGATATTGTATGTGTTTTGTTAACATACACTTTTATTTGTTCATTTTCTATCTTCTACCTTTTTTCCAAAACTTCTCAATATTATAGTTTAAAAATTTAAGTAAAGATTCAGTTAACTTTTGTTTTTTATAAATCGAACGATGATTTGAATACAGATAAAACAGAAAAAAGGCGTAGCTTATGTTTGTTTTATAGACTACCCCTTTTCTGAATTTGCCTTTGAGTTAGCTATTTTTTTTTACACATTTTATTATACCAATGGACATATGGTTCATAGAATGTTATCCACAAACCCCACTTTTGTGACAGTTGCAGTGTCCCAAACATCATTTTTAATATATTACTAATTGTATTTATTTAAAAAGGTCTTCTTAACATTCTTAACCGTCATATTGTATTTGTGTTCTCGTCTTTCCCTCTCCTTGAATCATACCATCATTAATCTTGTTATAATTATGTTTTTGTTTACATAACCCCCTTTTCACAGTATCAGGGATTAGGAATTTCGGAACCCTGGCTTTTCTGCAACCAAATTCTCGACATGTTTTTGTGTCCATTATCCAAAACTACTGTTCAATTAGATTAACTAACAAAACAATCTTAAAACACAGGGACAATTCGAAGCCGAGCGTGGCCCACATACACCCTTGGTGTGTCTAGCTTTAAGATGTGTCTAGTGATCTCGCCTGGCAACCACGTTTGCCAATATGAGTAAGAATAAAGCATAGGGCTAAAAAAATATTTCTGTCTATTATCTTAAAATCCGCTTAAGATAGAGAAATTCTGACAAGCCAGAAATGTTCAGAATGTGTAGGTTCAGCTCGTGCCTAGGCAGTATTGATATTGATGTTATTCCAAACTTGTAATGTCAAAGTAAGTTAAACTGACTGATATCGATATGTGATATCACAAAATGTCAACAATTCGTGCATAAGCTAACAATATTAATTATATTGAGATATGGAAATACAAAAGCCATATATCAGTAAAGTGATCTCTATATTCAGTTAAAATGTCGGTTTTAAGTTAAATGCATTAATTGAAATGAAAAAAGGTTGCACTTGAAATAGATAAAACAAAAGAGATGTCATTTCAAGTATCGTCCCTCAATAAATATTCGGTTAACGCCTTAGCCTGAGATCATTATAAAAAGATGATTTCGTGACTGAAATGAAGGATTTATTTATCTGTTTATTTATTTATTCATTTATTCATTCCTTGCATTGACTTATGACTGCATTAAATTTCCGCTTTCTTAAATCTAGTACTATAGAATGCAAAGCGTAACCAAAACCGCAAAAAATGTGTACATCAAAAAATTAATGCTATATCGCTGAAAATTAAAGATGTAGTGAATGATGAAAAATGTGCGACGATATTGTCAATTCGGAGTAGAAATTATGAAATACCATTGTCCTTAGATTCTGAAACTGCAAATGAAACCTTTTGATAATGTTTCATTTAATGTATTATATTGTATATTTCCCAGTTTCAGAAATATCCTTTTATATTTTCTGGTTGTCATAGCACATAGAAGTTTCATTATTTTTCTCGGCAAATTTGAACATGAATTATACTATTTAATGTCCATCTCCTATCATTATTATTTTTTTTTGTAAAATCAAGCAATGATTTTTTTTCAATATAACCAGTTTAACTCTATTTGAATTAAATTTGCATAATGTGTGTATTAGTTTTAAACCTTTGTGGTACCCCTGCACAATTTCAATTCAGATGTCATCGCATGTAAGACAGTAAAGTACGCGGAAGTATATTGAACGGAAGTATATGGAACGACAATTTCGATATCTTGATCTTTTAAGGAAATAGTAATAGGTTCATTTCAAGTGTCAGAAATAATTATTGTTAGAAAATGATATAAAGATAAGGAGATGTGGTAAATTAAGTCGACAGTAGTTTACCGATGTTCTAATCAAGGTAATAAACTAAAGGGAATCGAGACCGGATGCATCGATAAGGTTATTGTCACCTGAACTAAAAGTACCATAGACTGGTACCCGGCCATTATTGATAAGCTTGAATATTTTGAAGGAATATTTCACAGAGGGGACCAACTTAAATTACCTCCACCATGAGAATCCTTACTCAGTCAAAATGTCACAACAGGGAATCTGACATAATCGGTAAAATTACAGATCAGCCGACTATATTGGTATCGATCTAACGATCTCAGCCGCAAAAACTTGTGTAGTGTCGACTTTAGTCGTTCTTCATCATAACTCTTTTGGAGCGGTTTTGTGTAAGGAACACATCCCTGTCAATGAAGTCCGTATTGTGCGAACATACACGACCGTTAGTTATCAGAATAGATACGTAAACGCCATACGATTGAACAGAGGGTTTGATACTGCTGACAACTGGAAAGTTTCTTAAAGATTATAGTTTTAAGTCGTCAATCTGTTTTAACATCGGAAAAAAGATCAAGATATATAGCAGACCTTCTACTTATTACGTTATTATCCCAAATGTCAAGTACACTATGATATATGAGATGTAAGCACTGTAGTGCAATTCATACCGTATATGTTTTTTGCAAAACAAATTGTTTTGAGTAATAAATGACATTGAAGGTCGTACAGTGATTTATAGTTGCACGTCATTTAGGCTCAGACGATATAGGCAATCTCAAAGTTCTTTAGTTTTTCAGAGGGCATCAGGGGAGATAAGTATTGTACTAACTGATTTTACTCTCTTTAAATAAAGTATTTATTATTTTTGTTATTATCTTTAATGTTCCTTTCAGATACATTGACGGTGTCCTCTCACACAATAACCTACATAACAATGATACACAGTACTTGTATTTTCTTTACAAAACCGATTTATTGACTTCTTTGTCTAATTATTTCCTGTGATATTTGATAGCTGCATTATGTCGACTGAAAGTGATATTTGAGGTCATAGTGTTTGTAAAGCTTTCCCCATACATTTTAGACACATTAAACTCTTAAAAAAACTAAAAGATTTAGACAACAACGAATATCTAGTAATGTGTCAAATAACTTACCGAAAGGGGCCACGAAAATGGGTACACATTAGGGAAAGGTTGCCTCAAAGTTGTCTCAAGAATTTATAAACCATAACTGTATTACAAAATATAAGAAAATACACCTCAAGCAAGTGAAAATTCGTTTACTGCCCCTATAATTCCCAAAGGAAAAACTCTGTCGCAAGGGTGCAAAAGAGATAATGTGTATATATATTTCTTCTTTACATTGCCGTTTTGAGATCACCAGAATGCCACCAATCCTTAATGAAAACCACTTATGATAATTTTAACACCGAAAGAATGTTGAATTTTAATTTAAGTGAACTGAATTTTTAGAGGTGCATTTTTAAACTTGAATGTTTAGAGGTGCATTTTAAAACTTGAATCTTGTAGCATAACTATTTTATTGTATGTACAAACAATTAGTGTAAACAGATTCATATTCAATGACAATTTGTCCTGTTGATCATCCACTGCACTTTGCTTTAAACCAGGCGATAATTTATTCATACTATACTTGATTTCCTTCTCAGAAAATAAAAAGTCCTCCGGTTTTAATAATGAGGAAGTTATGACTTTGATGAATTTAACTGTATTATACTTATTTTGTTATGAAGGAGAAGCTATATGTAGGACTTAATCGAACAAAGTTTCTACAAAATCTTTTAAAGGTAAATAGCTAATCTATAATAAAGAATAGATCTTAAATGGGTTAACCGTTAATTATTCAACGTAATCTATGTATCACTGGTACATTATTAAGTCAGGGGTTTTGTTATCATAAATAACTTTAAACCTTAACTATATTCTTTTATAAATACAAAGATTTTTTTTGAAATTTTTACTGTACATGTAGAAAACTTATTTCTAAGGGGACATTACATCCTAATGGATATGGTTATTTTGTTTCTAGAGCCCGTTAATGTGGATACGATACATATATATTAAGCCATGTCTATCCTTTGAATAAACTACGTTCTGTCGATAATTAGGTCTTTCCACTTTTCCGTGGAAAGACCTTGGGATTTTGTTCTGGAAAGACCTATTGCTTTTGTTCTGATTTTTTTTTCTGCTGTCTGAGATGCTTTTTTTGTTGCTTGACATATCGAAAGGATTTTTTGCCCATGATATTGTACAGTGATTACGATTTCAGCATTCACCCTTTGTGACCAAACACTTTTTGTTATAGGAGTGATCTCCCCGCTACCCCTTTTTCATGATATTTTTATTTCTCTGTGACCGTAAATGATATCGACAAAAATATTTTTTCAACTTGTTCGTCTACTCTTACGGATGTTTTGGTTAAGTTTAACCGAAGAGTTCCGATAACATTATGGGAGTTATTACCCTTTTTAGATTTAACATTGGTGATATGTTGAATAAATTCATACACCATAAGTCTTAGAGACCTAAAGTCTTGTGATATGAAGTGCTTGGTCCATTTGGAGGAAATTGAGGTCAATGTGTAAGTCAAAGTCATGTTATTAATTTTGAATTTTGCTTGTTATCTTTATCTCAAAGAAACCGTGACAGTTAAAGATAAGATGCTTTTGCCGAATAATTGTTTACGACATGGAGCAACTTCAACGCATTTGAATCAAAGTGATACGTTGACCCTTAATAGGAGTTTTCTCTCCTTATATATTTGAAATCATTGAAACTCCTCAACCATACAAGTGAATGACCTGGGGTCTTTTGGTATGAGATCATTGACCTATGACCTTGAAATTGAGCTCAATGTCAAAAATCAATTTGACTTCTAGATTTTGACCTTTGCTAAAAATTCATACTGGTTCATTATAAAACCATTAGGTCTATTGCATAAGGTTGGTAGACATATCACCTTCAAAAATGTCAACCGGAAGAGACATTGTTTTGACCGGAAGTAGTAATTTTCAAACTTATTTAATGAAAAAGTACCTAGAAACCTTATGTTTTTAAATCAGTTTGAAGTCATCAATCATATGAACACGAAGTGACATCTTCTAACGTTTTTTAATCTAATCCTTTATTATCAAAGTTGAGGTGGAAAGGTTTTTGATTTTTTTTCTTCCGCCTAATTTTTTTTTCTTTCGCTGTTTGGTTGTCTCGCAAGATGTCGCTTAGATATCTGGTATATGATATCGAACAGTTTATACGCTTTTGAAACTGAAACTGCCCAAACCGAATACTTTCTCTTATAAGAGTTATCTCCCCGAACATTATTATTTCTTATACTTCGCAACCGTAAAAGAAACCGACAAATTTATTTTTCCAAATTACTCGTTACATCCTCAGGACATTCTGTTTTATTTTGACCGAAGCGGCATAGAAATTCCATATGAGAGTTATTTCTTCTTTTGTATTTGATACAAGTGAAATGTATTTGTAAGTGGTAAACCATAAGTGATAGAGACCTTGATTTGAGGTCCTCTGTCAATTAAAAAGAAAATGAGGTCAAGCTCAAAGGTCAAGTTCATGTTAAAAATTTTGAATTTGGCTTGTTATCTCTTATTTTCAGATATCGTATAAGATATCGACAAAATATTTTTACAGAATTGTTTGTTGCGACATGCCGTAACACATAAATTTTGGTTGAAAGGGTACGTAGACATTTAATGGGAGTTTTCTCCCCTTTTATATTTAAAATTATCTGTATGGTGATATAACTAATTAACCATATGTAGTATAGACCTAGGGTCTTTTGATTTGAGGTCCTTGTTTTATGACTTTGAAATTGGGGTCAAGGACAAAGTTTGATATGACGTTTTTGATTTTGACCTTTGCTCTTACTTCTTGTTGGTTCAAGATCAAGTCAAAGGATATTTTACATTGGGTTACTGAAAAGGGTAAACCGGAAGTGACCTTTTGTAAACTGAAAGTAGCCATTTTTGCATTATTTTCATGTACAGTTTACTACAACTTTATATTTTTTAAATCAGTTTGAAGTTAGGTTCAAATGTAACCGGAAGTAGCATGTTGTAAATCGGAAGTAGCATGTTGTAAATCGGAAGTAACTTCTTTTCTCCTTTATTTTTAGTAAAAGTATGTAAAAACCAATTATTTTCGGAATCAGCATAAATTAAGCTATTATCTGACACAAGAATTGACATTTTAACCCAAAATTCAATATTTTCCTGTCTAGATATGTCTATTTGGGCTGGAAAGACCTTTAAATGTTCTTTGAACAATTGGTTTTTAATTATATTTTGCCATTTTACATGATTGATATTTTGTCTAAAATACCTGACTTTCTTATTAGTTATTATTGGCTCTGAACTAACAATGAATACTCTCAGTTCTGTACTTTTTGTCTTTGTCTTTTCTTTTTGTGCCTTGTATCGATCTGATTATTCAAGCTTTTTCTAGTTTGTTCTTATGTTCTTTTGTAACTCCTTTGTCCCAGGTTAGGGAAAGTATAAGTTGCTCACAAACATGTTTAACCCCGTCACAATTTGTATTGGCCAGTCCAAAGTCTGGTACCTGTAATTCAGTGGTTATCGTTTGATGCTGTACACCATATATGTTCTTCGTTTGTTGTTTTGTGCAAAAATCAAGCTGTTGGCTTTGTTTTACATTTTGTTATGTTAGGGCCTTTAATAGTTTGATATGCGGCATGTTTTACTCATTGTTGAAGGCCATACGTTGACCTAATTTCAACGACATTTGGTCTCTGGTGGATAATTTTCACATTTGCAATCATACCACATCTCCTTATTCACTGTTATTTCATGTTTACCATTATTTGATGATAGATAAAAACAAAACAAAACAACTGTATAATGAGGAAAACTAATTAAATATATAAGAAGTTATCACATTATCGGTAATGATGTTTATAGAGTTCTTGGATCAAGATATAATCAATTAAAACTTATTCTTCAAGTTTAATAATAAGACATTGAAGAATGATTGTTAAAGATTGTCTTTATTTGTATCAACCCTGTTTTTATAGTTTGATAAAGAACTAACCATGCATGCTATCCAGTAATTTACAATTAAGGTACTACCTCCTGGTGATACTAATATTTTCGAAACGCACAAGATGATGCATTATTAAGATTTCTAATGACGGCTTTAAATTAAAGTCATTTCAGGTATATTTAATTCATATCTTAGTCTTCGAAAACAAGGTTTATTTTGTAGCTCTAATTTGACTTTAAACGAGTCTAAAGTAAACGCAAGTACTTTGAGATCACAATCGGTAATTGTGTTTTTTTTATATGTTTTTAGTGCCTCACTTTTCAACTGGTTTAACCCTTGTCAATTTCGAGATGTTAAACACTATTTAATAGTTATCTTTCAATGAAATTTGAGAAGAAAAATTATACTTTGTAATTTCATCTACTACTTTTCAAATGATAAACAAAAGTGTTACAAGAGAATACAATATATTTTTACCATCGAAATTTGAATTTGAAGATAATCATAAAGAAGAAATGTCATCTACAATTTGTATCAGAAAAGTGTAGTTTCAGTTTCAAAAATATGTGTTTCCCAATTTAGATTTTAATTTCCCCAGAATTGCCATCGGAATATTAGACACCTGATTATTTTTTTCACAAATATATTGATCTTGTTGTTATGTTAAATGAAGCTTTTACTTATTCTGAGATATATGTTAAAGTGGGGTTCCTGATTGTGATAAATTTTTAGTTGCTGTACATTGTTTTATGCATTTTTTTTTTATTTTTGTAATATTTTCTCTTTCGGAAATGACGTTATTTGTCTTTATTGGACTGGTAAATCAATTCAGATAAATTTATAGATACCTAGGTTGGTTCCCTCCGTAAAATATTCAGTATGCCGTCGGAATATACAAATATTATTGTCAAGATTTTCAATAACGGCCGGGTACCAGTCTAATAGATACCTGGCTTTAAATTTGTAACTCCAGGCGCACATCTCGTCTACAAAAGACTCATCTGTGAAGATCCAATCAAAAAAATTAAACAGTCCAAATAAAGTACGGGGTTGAAGACCATTGAGGTCCCAAAATTCCAATTGGTTGATAATAAATTAACGATGGTTCATGTCAACACGTAAGCTTGTGTTTGGTTTCCCCCTTCCATCCCCTGTTATCTGTTTTCTTTTTTTAAAAATATGAAAAATGTGCTAAAATGTCAATTGCGTTTATTAACATAAACTCAGCTTTGTGGTAATATCAAAAACAAATGTCCTGTTTTACCTATGTTTCAACGCATATACTCAATGGATCGAAAACTTTCCATTCTGCATTTCCCCCTCCCCACGAATCTAATGAAATCAAAAAGCAATAATAATTGCTTATGACTTCATTTGTTTTTTTGTTAAATGAAAAAGTTCAACAATCCTTCTTCAAGCTGTCCAGATATTTAAAGTGTGATGCAATTTTTGCAATATAACCTATACAAAACTAAATATTTTTTTGCAGACAAAACAACGTGTGGTAATTTCTGATGTACTTTAATCAATTTGGTACCATTAGAAGCAATTTACCAGGTTTATTTGGTAATATTTAAGTTTTAAAACGTTTTCTGATGATATAAACAGTATAATTTTTTGTACAAAATTTTACTGTTATATATTTCAACAAATCAAATTGTAAACAAATATATTATACATGGTCACATCTGGAGAAAACAACTACAACTGAAAACAAACAAAAAATGTTGAAGGCCGTACGGCGACCTATAGTTCCTAACATTTACTGCCACTGCTCCCCAATGGTATCACCACCCCAGTAGTCAGCACTTAAGTGTTGATATGAATTTTTATTGATATGGTCATAATTCTAAATTAACTTTTTACAAAACTTGGAATTTTTCGATGTACCAAGGATTTTGTACTCCAGGAATGGATTAAATTAGCTGTAGTTGGCAAAGTCTTTCGGAATTTTGGGTCCAAAATGCTCTTCAACGTCGTTCTTTATGCGGCCTTTTTATTTTACTTTGATTCGAGAGTCACTAATGAGTCTTTTGTAGACGAAACAAGCGTCTAGCGAAATAGTACATTCTAATCCTGGTATCTATGATGAATTTATCTACGTCATTTGGTCTATGGTAGACAACTGTCTCATTGGTACTATGCCACATATCCTTTAAATGACGATTATGTGTCTTTCAACACATGTCTTAAAAATATATAAAGCAAAATTTTATAGGTGATGCATACTTACATGTATGACTTAACACCGTAAATCAATCCTCTCCGATGTGTCCGAAGTGGTAATATTTGGAGTAAAGGGGATAACTCCCGTTACTAACGACGCATATTTTTTTTAGCGCGAATTCCGCTAGAGACGTGCAAGTATGTATAGTTTGCTCAATTGATTTATGTGATTTAAACATCGGTAAAACTGTTGCCTTAACTTACATCATTGTGCATTATTTATCGGGTGATTTTCAATAAAAACTAATGTTCTTCTTGTATGATGAATGAGCGTTATTGACTGATTTATATTTGGCAAGCAAATCGGAAAATGTTAAAATATTTCGACCACTTGTGTAATTTAAAGATTACGCCATCCCAAGAAATCTGCTAAGAATAAAAATACAAACACATATTTCATATGTATTTAGGAAGTTACTGACAGAAAATAAAGAAAGAAAAATTTAGGAAAATCAATCATAATTTTGATATCAATTGAGGACTGAACACGTTTAAAGGGAAATAGTGTGAATTTTTTATCTAATTTTGTTGTTGTTGCTATTATTGTATTTCGTTATCATGTATACAAATTCGGGGTCGTATGTCCTTTGTGATATTTCCGAAAAATTCTTAAATAAAAATTTTGAAAGAGTTAAGGGGTATATTCGAAAGAGAAAAAAAAACCTAAAAAGATGGGTTTTTTATATTGATTTTCTATTGTAATGACAAATTTGTCCTTATAACTATATGAGCAAATGAAAGTTTCCTCTATTCTGGGAGAAAAAGTTTAACAATTTGTTTAAGAAAAAAAAGGCGAAATTCTATTGTTCGTTTAGATAATCAGTTTGCCGACTTTGTTTTTGTGGATGAAGAGTCTTGAATCCGACGATATACCAACGCCTTATTTAACCAAAACATGACGCTGTGTTTGTTTAAAATGTTTGATTAAGATACTATCAGATACTGAATAAAATCAAAAGATTTAAGTTTCACGTGTTTTAAAAACTTCACAAATGAAATTTCACACGACTAACATTGATGACATGTTTCTTTTCAAAGCATAATAAATGGTTTTCAGGATCGTTCATGAAAGGAAGTTATTGCAAGTTCTTAATATTTTGTCGCGTGTTTTTATTGCACGTTTTTCATAGGAGTAATGGAGTATGGAGTTATAGTTAATATGTGTATGATTTATTATTATAATAATGTGTTATCTAAAAATAAAATTTCAAAATCAAATAGATGTTTGGTATAGTCGTTGCACCATGCACACGAATCTGACACTGTGAATTTAAAATATCACTGAAACGAAATTTTAGGTAAGCGAATATTTGAAGAATGTTAATAGAAAATTACAAATGAAAAAGCAAGTTTGTTAGTTTTAATGCCAAATACGTCTGGGAGCAATCTAATACACAATTTTTCTTGCAAAAAGTACAACTAGACCTGGGGCAGACCAGTCCTCAGGATCGGTTAAATTTAGACCTGTCACGAGACTTGTCTGGATCAGACGGTCAAACCGGTGCAATGGGCAATAAAAGTGCTGTTCCTTTGCTTTTTGTGTGTTTATTTGCTATGAATGTACTGATTTTGTGTCATGGATGGATACCCCATATCCTTTGTTTTTTTTCAATTGGTAATAGTACGGACTCGATCAGTCCTTAAAAAAGCAGACTTAAGTCTGGTCTAACACCGATAAATTTAACTTGATTATTTGCACAAAGTCTATTAAGTTAACTTGGAAAACTGTCAAACTGTTTCCTGAAAGTTTACTTTTGTACAAGTTAGGACCGCACCCATCTATAATTATAAATCTCCAGCTTTTGGATAATATAACTGATATAAAAGTAAGGTTACAACTCAACCAAAATAGTTAGACAATTTAACCTGACTAATCATGCCATTTTAGGGCGTAATACTATAATGTATGTTGTAATGAATATGGCACAATCAAATTATTTGACCTCGATCCAAATTTATTCCAGAAATACATGTTGCGTGCAATGAAATCAGAATGACACGTTTGTTTTATCTTAGGTTTTAAATGAATAAAAATATATAAGATATACTTTGTAGTTTCTATTTCATTTCATCCTAAATGTGTAAGTAACTCGCACAGATAAAATATAGCTAATTTTTCAACTTTGGTAACTTCATTTTAAGATACATTGTATTACATAAAAAACTAAACTCGAATGTCTTGATCCATACACACCTTTTCATGTTTTTAGAATAAGACGTGGATGTATGATGTCTATGTATTGGCAGCGTTTAGTTGCGCCTTTTTATTACGGTTGTTCTTAAAAAAAGCAAAGTTTCCGCTAGCCCATAATCGCAGTTTGTGAAAAATAAATTTTGGTAAAAAAAATCGTTATTGGCCTAAAAATATTGCGAAATACTTACAATTGTTCGATGTCATACATCCTCAGTATTTTTGGGTGGCTTCTCTGACTTTTTCTCCTATCGGTCAACACCCAATTTGTTACCTTGAACTCGTCCCGCGTTACAATTTTCACACCCAATCAATATTTACATGAATATAAAAAGATGTTTATTATAGGTTTAAACAATTTTGTGTAGTTCAATGTCTTCATATTTTATTGATCAGAAGTGTGTTGATTTAACAACTTCTTTCAAAATAAGTGCTTTGAAACGGATACTTCAAAACCGTTTTGGCGCTCCTGTTTGAAACGTAGATTTACGTTTTATATTTGATTTTGAACGAAGGGCCAAAAAAAAGGGCCCTTCAACTAGATAGGAAGTATCCAATAAACAGACTGAAGATGAATCGCGGCCTGCTAATGCCTTGGACACAATATAAACATTGGGACTACAAAATCCGTAAAAGGGACAGTAACAAAATGTATTTCCTTTGAAATGTTAATTTACAATACTTGACCTGTTAAAATACAAATTATCATTTTAATTCAGTGTTAGTTTATTCAAATGAAGTTTATGAATTAATGTTCATTATGTAGATTAGTCGACGATGCTGCAAATTGAAATGTATTTATTTGCATAAAAGGTTATAAAAAAAATCTTGCATGACGAAAGACCTGGCGAAAAAATAAAGTTGACCCAAAAGAAAACCCGCATAAAGAACGTTCTACAACCTTTTTTGGAAACCTGGTCTTATGCTACAATTGATGAATTAAAAATATCAGAAGAAAGAGAAGAGAATCAACTCGTTTTGTTTATTTGTGAATTATTACTTTTAACTGTATACAAGTGTTGCTGTTGATCATCAATAAAACTCCAAAACTGATATTGTAGCATAACTGTATGAATGATGTAAATATTTCTGTATAATAGCACAACTGGGTTTTAACATCTGGTTTTGAATTATTGCTACAGACGCTAATAGCACTTTGACACAAAAAGACGACGAGATGAATGTTAGTCCGGTTTATGGGGCAGAATCCAACAACAATAAAGGTGTTTCTAATGAGCATCCAAGTTTTAATTTGCATGAAGGTGTTACAGTGGGAATAAAAGGAGCCAACTGCAATACTCATGGTAATATAGGTGCTTAGTCTTGATAGTATATATGAAAACACAATACAGACATTATTGTTATTGAACAATGCAATTAATATGCAATTAATTTAACACTAAGGTGTAAAACCAATCTATGTGATGATTGCTTCTAATAGGAAAAATGATAACGTTTAATAATTGTTGCTCTTAAATGGGTAGGCATATATAAAGTGAAGCCCAACAATACAACAACATTTGCCTTTTAGGTTTTATTTGGTCATATGCATTTGTAACTCTTCAAATAAAAAAAAAAAAAAAAAACTTTAAATTGTTAAACATAAAACTTGTGAAGCGATTATTTCAGTCTTGCCATATTCGTGCTGGAATAGTTTATTTTATTTGAACTATATTACTGTTAGGTTAATGAAAGTGCTATAATGAGAACACGCACTAACATATTGAAATAACTGAGGTACCTAAACTGGAAAAATAGATATGAGAAAAAGAATCTTGATAATTTCAATACTTTGTTGAGTTGTTATATAGACATGACACGTCTTGCCAATCGGTAATGGTGAGGGTGCTTACGGCAATCACATAACAAACGATTGGTGTTCAAATCGTAATACATATTATTTAAAGTGTTAATAGTAAAATCAACCATGCAGACATATTTCAATTTGATTTTGAACAGAAAATACAGATGATTGTACTTTTAGTTTTTTTTTCTCGTTTGTTATTGTTTGCATGTTTGGAATTATTAGGAGGATGCACTAGAAAAATAGTTTAAGTCTTTACCGGCCATGTTAATCATAACAACACCTGTAAAGTCATAATAAAAAACTTCAAGTCTTGTTTAGAGTTGAACTAAATTTGCAACATTTTTTGTCGTTAATTCAGTATTGTTAAGGTATAATACCACTAGTTCGGGCCCGGCCTGAAAGAACATACAAGAAAGTAGTACATATTTAAACAAAATAGTTCCTACACATAGCTGTAGCTTTGTCAATTTTTAAAATATTTGGGTATTGTTGGTATGAAATGAAAGCTTTAGGATTTGTAATCACTGTAGAACCCTTGTTGAAACATTCTTATTAATAATAACATTTTTTGTCGTTAATTCAGTATTGTTAAGGTATAAAACCACTAGTTCATGTCCGGCCTGAAAGAACATACAAGAAAGTAGTAAATATTTAAACAAAATAGTTCCTACACATAGCTGTAGCTTTGTCAATAAGTAAAATATTTGGGTAATGTTGGTATGAAATGAAAGCTTTAGGATTTGTAATCACTGTAGAACCCTTGTTGAAACATTCTTATTAATAATAAATTTAAGATAGGAGGGCATATTTGTCCTGATGTTCAGATCGTAAGTACCTGTTTTTGTTCTACTAAAATTCCGAGAACCAGTGCGCTCTAATATGCAATTACAGGTATGTTGAATTTTTCAGCACAAGTCATGGTAAGGTATAGTTTTGACATGAAATGACTGTCGCTTTATTTGAATCTAAAAGATAATAGCTATTTATGCTTGAAATTGAAGAATTTAACATAGAAAGCAATGGGGCTATGAATTATTGGTTTTATTCTTTAAGCCATTCGCCTTGCAGCCAATCCAGTACTGTTTAGAAGATTTGTTTTGTATAGGTAAATAAAAACTACTGAAAAGCCTGACCATGGAATTAACAAAACTTAGTTGACTGGAAACAAATCATTTGAACAGTTCTGAATTTACCGCAGTGGATGAAATAGAAAATTACCTGAAATAATGAACATAGTTTAATAATTTATTGTTCAGTTGTATCAGAGCTGTTGAGATCAAAATGACCGTCTCATTTCAAAATTGGTTACAAGTGATGTTCGGGAATTAATTCTACATATTTTTATTCAATGAGAAAAAATTAGTAAATATCGTCACCGATATATCACAGCTACGGTATATTTTGTTTGCAGTGGAAACATATTAACCAACATTAGAAGTGAATATCTTTTAACATAATTTCACACGATAAACCTATTTCTATGATTGTAATTCAGTTAATACATTGTTACACCTAATTTCCTATTGTTAAATTAATTTTTTTTGCTAACAGCAGAGCAATAAGAAATAAAATGATAAAGTCTACATATGTGTCATATGAATGATCAATCGAATTGTATTAGTTTACCTGTGTTTGTACCCATAGGTAAATAAGATATATATATTTTTTTATTTAAACCTTTTTCTCGTTTTTTTAGAAAAGGTAAACACAAATGACCGCCCGATTGTTATTCATGCTGTAACAGTGGTAATTGGTAATGAAAATATAGTGACGAACATTGATAGCGGTATTCAGTTTTTGTATTATATTTATATTATATAAACATTATTGCTTAATTTTGAAAGCATTTTTACATCCCAACACAAAAAGATTAGGTATACTCTTTACCTCTGTCCGTCGGTCTGTCCTTTCTTCACATATAAAATTTGAGTCGCATTTTTCTAAGGAACTATAGATCGGAACTTCATGTGTTGTACTTCGAATTCATCTTTCATCAACTTTAATTTAACTTATCCTAATATGTAGTAACTATAAATCAAGGCATTTCTGAAATTTGGAATCAGTCTTTATGGAAACATGATTTACGATGGAGACTTTTCCTATTTACTACGCATCAACTACCTGTTTACCAAATACTTATAACGGGAATACCGCCAGTTAGCTTTAGCTGTTAGTTATCAACTCTGATTTATGAATCAATTTTATTTCTTATATAGTTAAAACCATAAAATAATACTGGTATTAAAACATTTTTTGACTCTTTCTGCGAAGTTGTAGAAGATACGCAGTGAATATGTTATTGATCACGTAACATATATAATGTGAACAGTGATACTGGTTTAGGTAAAAAAACTATTTTATTAAGACATAAAATATTCACATTATAGAGACTCCTTCCATCAGAGAATTATGAAACAATATTATTTATCAAAATATTATATGCAACACAGACTTAAAGTGTTTACCTCATATAAAATTTTGTAACATAATATCTTGACATCTTGATTTTTGTAACTCATTTTACAGGTGTAAAAGTACCTTATAACTGGAACTAATTGATTACAAGTCAATTCTTTACATTCTTTTAGAGCCAAGGCCAGTAAAAAGGTGTGAAAGTCAAGTGATAAAGCAAGACTACAAAGAAAGCTTGAATCAAGATTTTGCAAGTAATACTTGTTTTATTGTCAAAATAGTCGAAAGATACCGCCAAAGGGACAATCATGATCGCATAAGTCGAAAATAAACCTACAACGCCACGCACATTACAGTGTACATGGTATATACATTTAAAAAAGATAGATAAGAAAAACAAGTAAATTAGTTATTGAAATAAAATCGATTGAACCAGTATGTACTCCAAAGGAATTTACATAAGAGAAAACATTGCATTATTAGAATTTACAATTGGATTTGCAAACAAAGAACTTGATACTGAACAGAAAAGGTAATACAAAAACAACTTGTGGCCCCTTTGAACATCTAAACGTTTGTAAATCACTCATACAACATGTTTTATATATTCAAAAGGAATTTTGTTTTATTATATTATTCAAATTCTTAAGATTTGGTTTTTAATATTAGAACTTTAAACTTCTTGCTTACGTTTAAAAAACCACTTAATTAACAGTAAAGCATAGCTTTGAGTTTATTCCACAATAAAAAGATTATGCACCACAGTCTCACCAAAAATACATTGCTACACGATTTCTTATACTACAAATTGAATGTGGTCGCAAACATATTAAACACAGCCACATTATGTATGAGCGTGTCTGAAGTCGTATCATCATTATATTTAAACTAATAGTTTAACACTTAAATGATAATATTATGTCATCCTGGTAATTTACCAATGAATTCTACACAATGTTGGCAGAAATTGAGCAATACTAATATATTTGCATTTCATGGACCAGAAAAGGGCTATTAAAGTCCCTCTTATCGAGCGATTGTTTACACAGTTGGATGTCCTTACCCTTCACAACGTTCATTAATAGAATCGTTAAGAGATATCGAGGAAGATTGTCCGAGTTTTTTCATAGAATCTAAAAAAAACACTGTTTTAACAAATACCTTGTCACAGACAATAATCGTCATTGAATATCTGCTTCACAGGTGACACTGGAAATGATCCATTTATGAAAGCCAAATTATTGTCATTCGTTTTTGTTTGAAACATCAACAAATGTGTTGTATCTCTTGATTTTGATTTGTCATGATCAATTCAATAGAGGAAACTAATTTAGTAGGAACAGTACAGGAACGCTAAAATTTAGTCCGATTTCTAATGCTTGATTTTTATTATACTGTACAGTTATTTGTAGACTGTTGCTATTCTGCCATGGTGTTGTCTGTTTTTCGTTATCTTATTTGAGTATGTTATTCTTTCTAATGATTGCAGCTGCTGTCAAACGTTCACCACCTGTATGTTTTCAAAATATCGTGTCTTGCTCCTTTTTGATATTTTTTCCAAAACATATTTCAGGTTTTAGTATAGAACCCTCTTGACGTGGACCCATTATGACTGTAAATTTATCTATTGGGTGTCTCGCTCCTGCTGTTCGCTTGGCGTTTTTCTCCTCAATTTATACGGTTGACCTACCTATAACAGTTTCCTAAAATACATGTAGTATATCAGCAACATCAATGAGCCAATATTGTTTGTGGTGAAAAACATACCATGTTATTACAAACTGACTCTACGGTATTCAATCGTGAACGTTTTAACGTTTATTCTTCTCGATGATATACCGTCAAACGTAACGTGTGCCTCCATAGTAGAGTATATGTACAAATTTAAATGTATACACAGTAAATTATATGGCGATGTGTTTTATATATTTTATCAAGTTACACATTATACAAATAACTTTATCATTGTTCTATAACTTTATCCACTGTTAAAGATACAATAAGAAAATGTCTATTATGCTATTTTAGAAATATAAATGTCATCTTGTTTCTAACTTTGTTTCATAAGTTCTTTATTCATAACTTTTTACTCGTTTCATTTAAGTAACAGCTGTTTAGTTTAAGAAGATAGCTACTGTCTGTATTATGATATATAACCATATCAAAATAATGAAAAATATTTTTTCAATTATGATATTACATGTATGTAACAACATCATCTAAAACATTACTGTTTATAGTTATGAAAACAAAAAGCAATAAAGGCGTAGCAGACAATTCTCCGACACTGGCATAATCTAAATGACACTTTCTTTTTGAATTTCATGTAAATTAAATGATCTTATTTTGTTGAAGCTTGGGTTGTAACTCCTACGAACAAGATTTACCCAAGACTTTTGACCGTGCAAGACCCTCATGGGTAGTTAAGGTCGTTAAAAACCCCCATCATCATCACTGTAGTCTTTTTGTGTTGTTCTATTTAAACATGTTAGACTCTTTTCGGTTGAATGCTCTACTATATTTTATTCTATTTTCTCAAATTTTCATGCCTTTTCACATTTCTCGATCGGTGTGAGAAAAACATTTTCCCCTCTAGAGAAAACTTTGTTCTCAGCAAATGATTGGTCGAAATTCAATCATGACGTCAAATTTTCTTGGTTTCTTCTGAATTATCTATTGTGACGTAATGAAAAAGGCGACCATCCCTGATGACGTCACATATAAAGAACTCAACTTTCTGCAAATCTTTGAAAAGGAAATGAGAGAAACAGATTTCACCACTATAACTCTTGTATTACGATATTTCGCCATTTTCAAAAGTTAAATTTTAATCATTTAAAACGTTCGGCAAGCCTCGCGCTTGAAATATTAAAATGTAATTGTCTCGAGTGGAGAAATATAGTAACACACGTGATGCAGTGATGAAATCTGTATTTTCCAAACATCTGATGAAAGTTATTCAAGAAACACACATTGTGATATTGTAAGCAAAGAACTAATTTCATTTAGTTTTGGTAATGCTATAGTTGATATACAAAATTACAAATCAAAAGGCCGATATATTGAGTACACATTTCAACAACCTAACTGGTAAAAGCATTTTAATACCAAACTGTGTAAAGTGAGCGCAGTGTGATATAGGATTAAATAACTTTTGATCAAGTGTTATTGTATTACGAATGCTTGTATTCAATGTAGTACAAGATCACACTATTGACAAACGTTGATCGAAAACTGCTGTTACATGTATGTAACAACATCATCTAAAACATTATTGTTTATAGTTATGAAAACAAAAAGCAATAGAGACGCAGCAGACAATTCTCCGACACTTGCATAAGCTAAATGACACTCTTTCTTTTTGAATTTCAGGTAAATCAAGTGATGATATTTTGTTGAAGCTTTGCTTGTAACTCCCAAGGACAAAACTTACCTTAGACTTTTTGGGTGGTTCTATTTAGATATGTTTGACTCTTTGGTTTGAATGCTCTACTTTATTTAATAATTTTTCAAACATCTGATGAAGGTAATTCTAGCAACACACATTGTGATATTGCAAGGAAAGAATTAATTTCATTTAGTTTTAGCAATGGTATAGTTGATATACAAAAGTACAAATCAATAGGCTAATATATTGAGTTAACATTTCAACAACAAAACTGGTAAAAGCATTCGAATACGAAACTTTTAGATTAAAGCTCTAATAGAAACTGAGCGTAGTGTGAGATAGGGTTAAATAACTTTTCAGTTTTGGTCAAGTGTTACTGTATTACGAATGCTTGTATTCAATGTAGTACAAGATCACACTATTGACAAACGTTGATCGAAAACTGCTGTTACATGATCCCAATTGACCGTTTCAGAATCGAATGGATTGTGGGTAATTTCATTGTTCGTACCCCAAAATAAAAATTACGGCTTGTTATTGGTTGAATTCTCATTGTTTAGGACGCCGTAAGCAAAACAAAAACGTTGTGGTGTATGAAAATATTACTCAGAAATCATTTCCTACTAAAACGGTGAATTGGTTTAAACAATTTCGTATTTATCAATTACTAAATATATTTTGTTTTCAATATTTTGTAGATCCAGACATTATTATTCTTGCAAACAAGGTAGACGAATGTACTGTAAAATTATTGAAGGAAAACATTTTGGAATTCTTTAATGGAAAGAATAACATTCAAATCGCTGACTTTATCATAGAGGAAGGCGCTGACCAGAATTTTCTCGACGCTGTAAACAGAGACATGCGTACCTCAAAAAAAGTATTTCTCCTACTGTCAAAAGACTTTGTCACTAAAACATGGCCATATATATCAAAGATGTCGTCTCTTAAAGACCTTCTATACTCAAACACATCATCAGTTATACCGATGTACTTAGAGGAATCTATTAGTCTGCCAATGGGACTAATGTCAGCGTATTGCTTGCATTTCTATAAACGAGATCCCGATTACACAAGGGCATTGGAAAAGTTGTTGGAGGGTGTTTTTGAAGCATAATCAGCCTTTTTGGGAGCATGCATATCTCATTTGTTTCATTGTTTGAGAAAAAAAAAAACTTTTGATAAAAAAAAATACTTTTCTCAAGATAGCACTTGTCTTTTCGCTTTTTGAATAATATTTGAATATTTTGGTATGTTTTTAGAATTAAATGCAATTGTTCAAGGTGTTATCTGTCGTAAATGTATTTCCAATTTTGGATGCACTTATCAGTAAGTTGTTACAACAATGATTTCTTTGTAGTATCAAATATGGATATTTCAGTTTCTAAAAGAGAGGCGAAGAATACCAAAGGGACATTCAAACTCATAAGTCGAAAATAAAATGACAACGCTGTGGCTAAAAAAAGAAAAAGACAAACAGACAAACAACAGTACACAATACAACATAGAATATAAAAGACTGAGCAACACGAACCCCATCAAAAACTGGGGGTGATCTCAGGTGCTCCGAAAGGGTAAGCAGATCCTGCTCCACATGTTGCACCCGTCGTGTTGCTCTTGTAAGTAAAAACCCGGTGATATGTCTTATTCGGTAAGTCACATTAGGGGGATGAGGACGAGATTGTAGTTATGACAATTGGAACATATCCGTCGTCATCTGTCAAACAGATATTCCATAACGGTCAACCAACTCGTGATGGCGTCCGTAAAATTTGCGAAAAGATGATTTCAACTTCACCACTTGGAACTCTTGGTTTATTAAAGCTTCCTTGTTAGCAGTAACCCTCTATCAAGGAAATCATGATAGGAAACACAAGCCCTGGAATATCGTATCAACGGGGAGATATATACTCCGTATGCAGGCGCTGCTGGAATGTTGCTACATAGAAATGGAAAGTTCGCAATATGGAAGCTGAAATTATCTCTTTTGTCGTAAAGTTTTGTTTTAAACCGACCCTCATTGCCAATTTCTAGATGTTATCAAGATATGAGGCAGACTTGACTGTATCTGTTGTATCCATTATCTCAATTTCGATGGGAAAGATGCGTTAAAAATAGTCACCAAATTTTGAATTATTTAGTGAGGGAACATCATCTTTATAGAAACGAAATTAACAACTATAGGTTACCGTACGGCCTTCAACAATGAGCAAAAATCCATACCGGATAGTCAGTTATAAAAGGCCCAGAAATGACAAATATAAAACAATTCAAACGAGAAAACTAACGGCCTAATTTATGTTCGAAATGATGAACGAAAAAACAAATTTAACCTTATGTTTACTTTTTGATATTCAATGAAAAAATAAAAGTTTGAAGTCGCTTTTAGTTGGAATTTTAGTGTGGGCATCACGAGCTTTTAGATTTTTTTTGTTATCTGGTACACTCGTAATTTTAAAATATGGTCTGATCCAACTTTTAAATTGTGTGTTAGGTATCTTCAAATTTGTGTTTCCTAATGGTATCTACTAGGTAAATACCCCATTTATAAAAATGGCTACCTTTGTGATCCAAGTAATTACAGAGGTATAACTATAATAAGAAATTAAAAACATTTGTTTGATATCATTTTAAATAACAGACTAGATGGTTTTTTCCAGTGAAAACAATTTATTTCATCCTACACAAATTCATTTTACACGAAAAGGTAGGACTGCTGGTCACTGTGTTGTGAAAAGTTTTATTGACAAATATTGAATTTCTAAGGTGGGAAAAAAAATCCTGGTGCTTAAGTAGGTTCACAAAGGGTCTATATTGGCCCTTAATTTCTAAGAAAACCTTCAGCAATTAAAGTGAAAATTGGATGAAAGCATTTCTAAATAAATCAGACAAATACATTTTTAACAATGACTGACGTATTACAACAGTAATGATGTCTTAAAAGAAGTCATAAAAAGTAAAATAACAAAAATTCAGAACTCCAAGCAAAAGTCAAAACGGAAAGTCCCTAATCAAATGGCAAAATCAAAAGCTCAAACACATCAAACGAATGGAAAACAACTGTCATATTACTGACTTGGTACAGGCATTTCCTTATGTAGAAAATGGTTGATTTAACCTGGTTTTATAGCTAGCTAAACCTCTCACTTGTATGCCAGTCGCATAAAATTCCATTATATTGACAACAATGTGTGAAAAAAACAAACAAACATACCTAATTGGTAAACATGTCAAATATAGGGGTACAGCAGTCAACATTATGTTATAATCATAATCACTATAAAAACAAACAAATATGTCAACAAAGAAAAACAAAATGGTTTATAGACAAAGCACATAAGCAAAAATGAAAGACAAGAATACAAAAATTTACCTTAGCACAATAACACAATGACGGGATGTATAAGTACCCAGCCACGCCAAAGGGATATAACCAAAAATGCACTTAACAGTAAAGGTAATAATTTACAAAGACAAATAAAAGAACACTATAACACGTAATTAAGATGATAAACAACGTCAGTACATAGAGTCTATACTTCAAGTCCATCATGTATTATTTGTGAAGTTGATACGGAATATTTATCAACAAGATCTTAGTATCTTCCGATGAACTGTTTTAGAAAAAGAATGAGACGTTCTTTGACATAACCCTGGTTCATCAACTTTCTGCTCAGGCACTTATGACGTTTTATAAAGTCTGAGTAGCAGCTGCAAGCTTTTGAATATCGAAAGAGTTGAAAAATGTATATCCCATATGCAGGTGAAGTTGGTTTATTGCTACTAAGGTGGGGGAAATTGATAATTTCAAAATTAAAATCGTCTCATTTGTCATAGAATCTGGTACTGAGATGACCGCTTATGTCAAATATTCGAGGTATAAGTCTAAAAACGAGGCGGAGGAAGCCGTGTCTATTGTTTCTTTAATTTCTAGTTCTGGAGGATATATTAATGGAACCGAATCAGAAATGTTTGGATTGTTAATGAAAAGAACATCATCAATATATCTGAATGTGAAATTAAATGATCTGGCTACTTTGATCTTTTCAAGTGTGCACGCTTACGATGAAAATCCCTATTTTGCCTGATATTTGCCTTAAGTTTTGACAGTTGTTGCTTAAAGAAAAACATATTTTATTGATTAAATTCAAGTTAAATAATATACACAATTTGACATTACCATATAAATACAACTGAATAATTGATAGGACAGGCCGTTAGTTTTCTCGTTTGAATTTCAGATTTGTCATTTTGGGGCCTTTTATAGCTGACTATGAGGTATGGGTTTTTGCTCATTGTTGAAGGCCATACGATGACCTATAGTTGTTATTTTTTGTGTCATTTGGTCTCTTGTGGAGAGTTGTGTCATTGGCAATCATACCACATCTTCTTATTTTATGTTAACTTATATAAATCCGTTTCCCAAAACAAATTAGAACATGTCATATGTGTAATACTTCAGAAGTGGAATGTATAAAATTAAATAATGTTACACTAGATGAAATAATAGTGTTGTAAACACAAGAAGAAGAAAAAAAAATGAGATGCATCAGAAATACAATTGTAGAGTGCATGTTTATGAACGGACACAAGTATTTTAGATATAAATATGCACTGTATAGTAGACCTGTTGAACAAGATGTTTGTAATCATATGATAAATATTTTGCTACGGAGTATAGATGTTTGAAATACTTAGAATATTTCGATGTTTTGTTCGTAGCTGAGTTCCGTTGAACCGTATAGCTAAATCTCGTCTGACAAGAAATGTTTGATTCTGATGTTATAAAAATGCTGTTCACGCATGATGTGGAATTGGGGGCAGTGCAACGAGTAATGCACTGTGGTTTTTTATAGCACCACAAAAACAAAGTGGGGAAGCCACTTTATTTGTAACAAAGAGATGCTGATTTAGAGAACTGCATTGCATACGAAGTCTTGAGTGATAAATTTGACATACTCGCGTACCAATTTAATAATGATATGGGGGTTTAGTTACCCGAGACTGGACACAACTCCTGAAATCTCTAACTGAAGAACTATTTTTAGCACTCTCAAGGAGGAACGTACAGGTAAATAATAATTCGAATAAAGGGCTGTTCTTGTTCGGACACGGGGGATTAGTGACGAATTTCTCGTATTATGATAATGTCTACTTACATTGATTCTGGAACTAAGTTCAAAAAATATTCCAGAGTAATATGGTTTTTCATCTTGTAGAAATGAATGAATCTATGATCCCTTCTATCTTTAACCTGTTTCGAGATATTTTTTGACAAAACCCTGGTTCATAACCCTGAAAACCATCTATGGATTTTTTTAGATCACTATTCAAGTTGTCTGCCGATTCTTAGGGGTCATCTTCTATCAAATAGAAACTAGTTTTATCTGTAAACAACTTAAAAGTGGACTGAATATCAGATATGATATCATTGATCAATATAAAAAATAACAGAGGTCTCAGGATCGAACCCTGGGGTACTACAGCCTTTAAATTGCCCCACTCAGAGGATACATTATTAATAACGACCCTTTGCTTTCTATTGGAAAAAAAGATAAATCACAAAAATACTGAACTCCGAGGAAAATTCAAAACGGAAAGTCCATAATCAAATGGCAAAATCAAAAGCACAAACACATCAAACGAATGGACAACCACTGTCATATTCCTGACTTGGAACAGGCATTTTCTCATGTAGAAAATGGTGGATTAAACCTGGTTTTAAAGCGCCAAACCTCTCACTTGGAAAGATAGTTTTCTACCCATGCCAAAATAGAACCCTTTAAACCAATAGTTTCCAATTTTCTCAACAACCCCTTATGCCAATCTCTTTTAAATGTCTTACTTATGTCGCAAAAAATTTTGTTGGTTATTTACCTTAATGGAATAATATCATACGTTAGAAATTGTAAAACTTGTGAAAATCAAATAGAAGAAGGAAAAGTCTGCCTTTAATAATTTTTTGATATTAGATCTGTAATATTGGTTTTTAGATATGATATTACAAAGTCCTGATTTTGTGGTCCTTATCCATTCATTAGGCATTTAATAGTTCTATTTATGATGGTATGAAACTAAAACTGTCAATAATGAATGTAGGAAACACATCATAAAATATTATAAATATTGTTTATAATAAGATTAAAGCTGGCGTGAAGATGGATGATCGGGTATCTGCTCATTTCATTTAAAATACGGAGGCCATCAAAGGGATGATTTAAGACCTAATATCTTTTACAATTTGTATAAATGGTCTTCAATCGTATCAAATAACAACATTGACT